CGACAAGGGATGGTCCTCCGGCTTGAGGATTGGGTGTGGGGCTAACGACACCTCGCCTTAAAAAATAAGCTTGTTATGAAAAATCACAAAAAGCCTCGGAAAGGCTCTTGTGAACACGGTAATGAACCTTCGGGTTCCGTAAAATGCTCGGAAGTTCTTGAGTGGTTGCACAATTGGCGACTTCTCAAAAATGGCTTAGCTCCATGAGTGATGATGATGAGGAGGAGGAGGGGTGATTTAGCTCTATACATGACTATACGATTCGAGTCTCTTATCGAAATCTCGGCACAGAAACATACTATCATAAGGTTCACACGGGTTCTCTCCAAGCAAACACTTGGACAGTACATAAAACCAGGACATGACAAATTTATTCCTCACCCTTCCAAATTAATCAGCCATAACCCCCTACTATTCGTTACTGTATAGGCCCAATATGAAACGAACTTACTTAATTGTAACCAGCCAAGTGCCCGGTCAGAATGCAGGCTAAAGAGAGTTGCTAAAGAAACCAACAAGAAAATTAAGATTTTCTGGGACAATATTACATTCAGGGAAGTTGGGAACAAACACAGAACACACAAGTGGCTCAGTGTGACTTCATCGCATTATGACAACCTCCTTAGAAGTAGCGAATTCTATAAAAATTATTGTACTTCATTTGTCAATGTAAAACTGGTGCAAAGTGTCAAGTGGGAAGATACGAACCACGTGATCTGCTTAAACTGACAGCAACACGGCGAACTGTCTTGTCAATCAACGAACTAAAACTAACACGTTGTAAGACGAAAGAGGAAGGCAGGAAAATTACCACTCTTAATTCCATTCATTATTGATCACTTTAAAAAAAGAGATTTGATGCAAATTTATCTTCATGAATAACTCGGCAGGTGAAGATGGACAGGTAGGTGGGGCGGGAAAATGCTCCTTTGGGAGTGGCATGCAGTACCGCGGCGAGGGCAAATTGGCTTCTGAATTCATAATGTGGGTACCCCTACTAAGGATCGCATGCCTTTTAAAGGCTCTGTGTGTGTGTGTGTGTGTGTGTGTGTGTGTGTGTGCAGGGAGGGGGGGTTATTGTAAAGAAAGATACTCCGCTCCGCAAGCAAGTGGTATTACCATCAAGTTTCTTGAAATTTTCTTACTTCGCGGCCCACCAAATACAATTCAATATTTCTCATCGTACCAAATCATGCATAGTCATGCATCACTGTAACATTGTGGGGCAGGTATACATATGCGATGTTAATATTATCTTCATGTTCCGCTACGCTTCCGTTTATTTATTTTCTGTAATGCGTATTAGAACTGAGGTTTATAGAAATAATTAATCCCCTGCTTGTACCGAAGACACACGTAAGACGATAACAGTGACAGAAAAATAAGAATACAAATCGCTGCCGGTAACAGGGGCTGATAACACAAACAGTCTGTGGGAAGAGTCATGGATATGCCGGACGGGGTAGCGGTCGGGGATGGTCCGGGCGTTTAAAGCTCTGTAGTCGCCACAAGGACGCCAACCTGGCCTGCCACTCACCTGCCGACCCCGGCGACTTGCACCGGACCGACTCGCTATCGCCAAAGCCGAGTTCGACGCCATGTTACGGGATGGCACAGCTCGCCGCTCAGAGAGTTCCCGGTCTTCTGCACTACACATTGTACCCAAGAAGGACAACGGTTGGCGTCCCTGTGGCGACTACAGAGCTTTAAACGCCTGGACCATCCCCGACCGCTACCCCGTCCGGCATATCCATGACTCTTCCCACAAGTCTTAACAAGGTCTCAATGCTGTTAACAGAATTGTGAGCTAATGTGAAATTGGTAAAAACAAGATTAACCATTACGTTACACTGAAACGAACTTCACGTCCACTGTATATCCGCATCAAAGTATAATGATACAGCAGCCGTGGAAAAGCCTACTTCAGTTTGGAGGACAGGTGGTCCAAGGGCCTATAATTTAATTTACTATGTGCTGCATAGAAGGTATTGCACATTGAACTAAACACCACATACAAGAAATACAAGGAATCCGTCCACATGCCTCTGATAGACCATCCGATCAGTGAACCCAGCTGGGACTTCTTTCCCTCTGGACTCCCGCTATCAAAGCAGAAGCACTAAAAAGAACTACAACTCAGTCCGGTATAGATTGAGCGGGAAAATTAGTGTCTTCTAGGATGGTAAGCCAAAGAGAATTTATCTCTCTAGTGATGACTTCTATTCTAATAGTTCTCTGGTTCTACACCTTATAAGTGTGGAGTTTAATATTTCAATATTTTGGCTTAACTCTCGCAGATGTTTTGTGTTGTGCGTGGTCTCCATACCTTACCTGGTGTTGGTACAGTTGTCCGAAGATAGGGGCTAGCTCTATTGACTGGGCCCAACTGAGTAGGTTTTACCTGAAGACGGAGACAGAATCCAGTCTCCGAAACGTTGTATTATATACAAAAACAAAACGACGGACAATGTCCAGAAACATATGTAATTATACGTGTTCTTGGTTTGCATGTATAGGACTCAAGCGGTTTTCGTTCTTAAGAACAAACCTTAGTAGGAGCATACGCGGGTTTCTAACAAAAGTTATTTTATTAAAAAGATAAACATAAAACTCCCCAACCTCACAAACTACATTTGCATACCAAGAACCCCCCCCCCAAAAAAAAAGCCTGTTTATGACCACACTAAGAGGTCATCATCTGACAGTCTCCCGAAGTCCTTCGGCCGGACAAGAGAGATGCAAGCAGGCTATCCGCATCACATTCCTGAGAAGTGAGCCTTGTGTTGTATGCGAGCCTTGTGTTGTGTGCCCGAGTGTCATATCCCAAGCCCTTGCTACTGTATTAAACATTCCGTCAATCGCGTCACTTCTTTTGTCGAAAGGCCACATTAGAATCACTCATTGAAACAAGTGTTCATATACGATAACAGTGTGGGAAATGAGAGGAGGAATTTTACAAAAACTTCAGGATGTTCCGCTAGAAAAATACTCACATATTCAAGAATTAACTACAACTTTACTGTTGTTAAGTGGCCAAGAATGAAATCGGACTGCAGCTCTGATGATGAAGATATTTTCTTTGATAGGCCCTATTCTGCTTCCAGCTATTAATTTCTAAGGCGTTGGTTTCACCAAAACGACTGTAAATAAACGTTTCAACAGAATGTATCATGACATAGCTATTTTAAGCACATCGACGGGCCACAGTTTGTACGCTCAGATCTGGTTCCCGGTATTGGAATTTTTCTCTTCGCCGCTGCATGCAGAATGGGTTTCGCACCCGTTCATCCTATGCAATGAGCACCATGAACTCATTAAACGGAGGTAAAGTTGGCCGAAGTGTGCAGCTCACCACTTACCCCTGGTAGGCTACTAGGGTGGTGGTGGTGGTGGTGGTGGCGGCGGTGGTGGTGGTGGTGGTGGTAGGAACAATGGAACAATGAGAGGAGGAGGTGGTTGAAGTAGTTTAGTGCAGTTTTCAACTTCAATGGCAACATATTCGAGTCCAGAATACGTGGAGTTATGCAGCACGCCGATTATACTCCTCGGTGGCACAGGTCTGTACTTACAAGGAGACTTCCGTCACCTACGCACAATGAAAAGGCCATTGCTTGCACACAGAGCAACGGAAGAAGCTCTCTCAAACACGTTTAATGGCCATGTGGTTGTGACGGTTCCTTTCTCATATCGCATGACAGGAAGGTCTACTGGGGAAACTGTGCATACGTCATTCTGACAGCACGATTCGCCTCCAAGACTACTAAAAGAATTTCGATCAAATCTAGTACTAGAAGCCCACAGTACCAGTCATTCGGTGAATTGCATTTGGTTTCTCAATCCAATGTAGCACTAAACTCTACTCTGCACGAAGTATTAAGGCAAAGGAAGTTTTCCCTGTGCTTAATTAATTAAGCACCATGCCAAGAATATGCATGGGAGAATGGAAGTGTAAATCCACTTATTAATATCGGCGCTAAATGGAGGTAAGTCCTCAGCTTCATGCCCTGGTCGCTTTAGGGCCCCCGGTACTCAATGCGGAGGAGGCTGAGTGAGCCCTAGAGACGGTCTAGACGCTGTGGAAAAGATAAAAACATGCTGCCCCTTCTCCGAATCGAACCCCAATTCCTCGGCCATCCAGGTCGTAGCCCGTCGCTGTACCGACTGGGTTATTTTGGATCAATGTCACTGAAATGTATCAATTTCCTAAAGAAAAGTTTTTTTATTGCTAGTGGGGTGGGACTAAGTCCCTTGTACTGCGGCCACTTCTGGCCTATTGTACCGGCCCCAGATGATAAGTGAGGGTGATTGTGGAACAGTTGGTGGGGTGAAGATTGACAGAGAAAACCTGCCCCAGCGCCACTTTGTCCACCACAAATCCCACTTGACCAGACCCGGGATCGAACCCGGACCGCCGCGGTGGGAAGCCAGCTACTAACCGCTTGAGCTATGGCCTGGCCCTCAAAAACGGTTAGTAGCATGAAGTCGATAAAAATGAAGTAAAGCTGTCCCTTCGCCTAACTAATTAAGCACTATGCCATGAAGGCGTATGGGGGAGTGAATATATAGATCCAGATTTTCTTGATCTCGGCACTATCTGGAGGTGAGTAGTAAGCTTCACGTTCCGGCCGCTTTACACCTGAGAGAGCTCCAGATACTCATTGGATAGGAGGTTGGGTGGACCCCAGAGCCGGACTGGACTCGAAGTCTGAATCCTCGGTCGTCCAGCCCGTAGAGTCGGCATGTGGTATAAAACACAGATCTCATTAAGATTCACTACTTTCGCGTGAAACAATTTTCGGTAAGGTGCAAACTGAAATAAAAACAACTTTCGACTCAGCACAGCGTCGTAACTACAGAATGATTAGCTTTGTTACAACAGATCTGTATTGCAATAAACGAACATCAAGGCCAATGATTTTGCAGAATTGCAAAGCACACATCTGAGAATGTCTGAAGCATACTTTCCAGAGTTTACAAATACCGAAGCTTATAGCACTTACTGGTGCGTGGTGACGTTGAAGAACAGATGCGAGAACTGTGGAGCCGAGTCCTCTGGACCGTGAGGCGCCGGGAAGCTGAGAACCAACATTACCGGCTTTCGAGAGAAGTACTGCTTAGACTGCCTCAAGAAAGCCACTGAGTCGTTGGCAATTAGGTCTGGGTAGTAGTCCTGGAAACACAAGATTCTCTTGCACGACGTGTGTAAGTGACCTGGATAAAACTCTAGTTATTAAGCACCATATCCGTGCAGAAAAAATGAATTACTGAGATTACTACGGGCAGAAAGTTGCAGGAAAACAAGACTTATGTAATGTGACAAAAATACAGACTCTATATTCATTCGATATTTTCAATGACTGGATTATCTTTCTCCATGATATGATAAAACCGTATACTTTGCAATTCTAAGCACAAAGAGGAAAACGTTTCCAGTTTTTTTCGATTGATTCTAAAGTCCGTTCAGCTGAAGATCTGATATAGCGTAGAACTAATAATAAGTAAGCATTTAAAAGCAGGCAGTCATAACTTATTTCAAGGTAGACATACACTCAAAGAAACTAAGGAGAAACAAGAACTTTGCTGGATTTGAGGTTCTCACAGCGGTGACTATCAATAGTACCATCTTCAGGAATATAATGCCATGTAGACCTGTAAAAACTTATAAATCATTCGGAGGAACATACTGATTCCATTTTCAGGATCGAAGAGTATGCCAAACAAGAAATTTGCTTGTATTCTGCTTCTTGCTGGATACTTGCTTGACTTGTTCTTCGACTCTGAAGATGGAACCAGTATGCTCTTCCGGAACACCGGTCAATTTATACCAGACTACGGACCCTTACCTCCAAGAAGATAGTATTCTTCGAGTAAAATTCAATGTAAAGTGGCAAAGATTTGTACTGGGAGCTTCTCGAATACGAGTCACGGCTACGTAAACCTTCTCGGTCCTCATTAATTTTATTGTCCATTTGTGTAAATGTAAATCTAGTTTGAAACCATTATTAATGAATGGAGACAGCAGCACACTGCATGATATCATATTCTTTTCCATTCCACACTAGAAACAGGGAAGAGTTTCAAAACAAAAATTATAGCGAGATGTTTCTACATTGAGCAAACTCCTTTTCGTGCGATGGACTCTATTTTTTATACATTATGTAAAACGATAATATTGGGTTTAAATTTCGTATAAAATAGGGTCTGCTGGTTCTATTGGACCGATAAAGATCGAAAATAATTCGTCAACGTTTAGTCTAGACTTCCATTACTAAAATGAATCGAATATTATAGCCTCATTAGTAGTTAACTTTGTTTCCTTCACATAAAGTTTGCATAAAGAGCCATAGGCCCCAGTTAACTACAAATTATTTACAGCCATTTTTGAGAAATTGCGTGTTTAAACAAGTCAAACGATTTTCACTTAATCTACTGTAAACTATAACAAGCTATGCAATATAATTGGCTAACAGCATGAGGCATGTAAATAACAGTGTTAAATTTAATTATACTCTGCATAAAATTGAGGATAAGAATAAAACTTGAACATTTAACTGCACGTACTTTGTAAAATTTAGGTACATACACCAAGCAGTTTTATAAACGAGCAGGTAAAATACATGTGCGTTGTGGACAAGTTGGTTATGATAATAACAAATGTAGACACTTATAGACAACCACATGCAGAAACAAAACACTTAATGTAAGTTTTGAGGTTTTTACGGCGATGACTATGAAGAAAGTCGTCTTCTGGGTTTAGGCGCCGTGTATTCTTCGTTTTGGCCGACGTTTCAGAGGAACGTATCGCCTCCATCTTCAGAGCAGGTGAATGGCTTGGAATGCAGAGAGCTGCAGCCATTCACCTGCTCTGAAGATGGAGGCGATACGTTCCTCTGAAACGTCGGCCAAAACGAAGAATACACGGCGCCTAAACCCAGAAGACGACTTTAATCAAAACACTTAATGTTTCACATTTTCAAAAAGAGTGATGCTACAGGCAACAAATCAAGAAGTTCGTGTCTTTACACAATCATTTAAAGATTCTTCTGCAGGCAGATACCGGAACCGTTCAACATGTTTCAGGGACTTACCTTGTGGTAGTTGGCGCCATGTTTGATTTTCTTTCCATTCAGGTTGATCGAGTAGTTGTAATAGCGAGAGTTCATGATAAGGCCTCCCCACTCCCTCCATCCGGGAGGGATGTAGCTGCCGTTGTACTTGTTCAAGTACTTGCCAAAATATCCTGTAATAAGCATACCTCCCACTTAAACTCATGTAGATGTTCTTCACAAAAATCCTTATATCTGTCGTACATTTTCAATTACATGTCAAAGTAAGCTTCATACGAGGACCGCGCCATAGTTCAAGCGGTTAGTCGCTGGCTCCCCACCGCGGCGGTCCGGGTTCGATCCCGGATCTGGTCAAGTGGGATTTATGGTGGACAAAGTGGCGCTGGGGTAGGTTTTCTCCTAGTACATACTTCAGTTTCCCCTGCCAATCTTCATTCTACCAATTGCTCCACAATCACCATCACCTATCATCTGGGTCTGGTACAAAAGGCCAGAAGTGGCCGCAGTACAAAGGACTTAGTCCCACCCTACTAACAATAAAAAAAAGCTTCATACGTGGCACTGACAACTTCAAATAATTTCCAGGGTATCTTTTTAAATCGAAGATTTAACGAGTTTAGACACTTAAAAAGGTATCCTTATAACTAAATCTTAAGATGTCCAAGCATTTCGTATCTGACATTCAACACTTTCAAGCACGTGTCAACGTATTCTCAACATGACATGTTCATGTACTTGCCAGACTATCCTTATATTTGCCATGTAACATGTCCAACTATTTTCAAGTACACTCACGCCTCACACTTCACACGTACAAGCAGGCTATTTGCCAAAGTACCTTGTAACGACAATACCTGACACTCAACAAGGCAATTCGTCTTTGATCGTCGTTGGTAGGAAGCACATGAAATGTAAGCAAGTGATTTACAAGCAACAATAATACAGGCGGTCTGCAGACGTGACTGAGGATTTAAAGAAAATCTGTGAACCTCATACGTAGACAAATAGATGAGTACATTGTCAAGGTAGAGAACAGGAGATAAAGTTGCTTAAAGGAATGTGTGTGGTCATTACTGACGAGATTTTAAACTAAACTAAAGCCACAGAATTGCTGTTAGTTACACAATTACTCATTCATAAGAAATCACGAAATCACCTCAGGCTATGAAGTTGTGGGATGAGGTCCCACCGAAATTACTTCTATAAGTTATTTATTGAATGTGACTGAGAAGCATTGCTACGGAATTGAAAAGAATACATAAAATTAGCTGGCTGAGGCACTATCTTAAAAGGACGGTCGCGGGTTCGATTCCCGATGAGACCATTGGAGTTTCTACTGACCTAATCCTTCCAGCCTCATTATGGCCCTGGAGTCGACTCAGGGTCTAACGAAAATATGTACCAGGTATGTTCCTGAGTGTAAAGGGTGACCGGCGCGTAAGGTTGACCTCACCGCCATTTGTGAGCCGATGCTCTCTAAAATGTGGGAGCCTTGACGTTTCGCAACCCTATGGGCCTCCATGGCCTGTTATAGGGGTAGTTCTATCTCTTTCTTGCCTTTTATGCTCTCAATTCCAATTTTCTAAAAAGTTCGTGTTTTAACAAACACATAATAAGTAGCATTCCATGATCATACACCATTTTTATTTATAATGAAACATCTTATGTAGGATATATATAACGGTGCTCTCAGTACTGACACAATATGGCATCAATGATAGGATTATCAATGAATGTAGAGCAGCTGGTCGAATAAAAATTGGCAAGGAAAACCTATTATTTTTTTAATTGCTAGTGGGGTGGGACTAAGACCTACTGTACCAGCCCCAGATGATAGGTGAGGGTGATTGTGGAGCAGTTGGTGGAATGAAAATTGGCAGGGGAAACCGAAGTACTCGGAGAAAACCTGCACCGGTGCCATTTTGTCCACCACAAATCCCACTTGACCAAACCCCGGGATCGAACCCGGGCCGCCGCGGTGGGAAGCCAGCGACTAACATCTTGACCTATGGCGCGGCCTCAAGGAAAACCTAAGTACTAGGAGAAAATCCACCTCAGTACCATTTCGTCCACCACAAATCCAATATAACTTCATCTGGGATAAAACACGAGCCGCTGCTGTGGGAAATCGGCAAATAATCATCAAAGCTTTGGCACGGCCCACGAAGTATCTGATGAGCGAAACTTAAAAATAATGACGCCCGCCATGATGGTTTCAATGACGACAGGTTTTTAAGGGTAAATGGGTGTCTGTAAACATTGGCATGCGTTTCATAGAGAGTTAATTAGAAACTGGCGTGCTTGGTCCAAATTTCTTACATAGAAAACGAATGGAGAGACATATGGCTAAGCAACAGAAATATAATTCTTGGCTTTGCAGTAAATGAAAACTTTCTTTTGTTGGACATAGCAGCTCCGAAAGAGGATCTCTGTTGCTATGTGAAAGGAACTGGAAACAAATGACGCATTTTCAATTTACAATTACTTACTTTGTTATCAGAATTTTAGCAATAGCTGAAATTTTAATTTGCTTAAGAAAACTGCTTTATAAGGCGTTCCTTACACAGTAAGCATGAACGCCTTTCGTGGAGGTTTGCCCATTTCTGACCTAATATCAGCTTCTTAAAACCTCAACAGCTTCTTTAAATTTGGTATGGGAGACTTTCACCAAACTTAGTGTTAGCGTCTATCATAATTAGGTTAATATATGTTAATCAAGACTAATTAATTTAAAGCTATGTCTGTATAAGTTAAGGCTAAGCAGATGGACATAGTCTTGCATTCAGGACGCGACAGAAGTGGACAGGATGTAGCATCTGCTACTTTTCCTGGAATTTTACCTGTTTTAGCGACACTGGCATGTCTTTGGAAATCGGAAGGGTGACAGCTAGAGCAGACTATAACTTCAAAGTAGAACACCAAAAACTCCAGCCAAGCGTATTATACGTCAACTAGCTGTCAGAACTGCCGTTGGGGTTTAATGGCTATAAAGCGCAGTAGTATTATCTGATTGGAAATTACTAAAATTTGGAGACTCCCTAGTTTACAAACTTATCCAATAGGGTATGTTTGAGGGGATGAACTTCCTTGGGAAGCTGTGCCTCGAAGGGGCTGACGGCAAGGGGCTGACGGCTTTAGAGAACGCAGTCTCCAAAATTACTCTGTGTGCTCAACTTCTGAAGTATACAAATGCTAAACAGGAGTCACCTCTTCGCGAAAATTCCATAGTTAGAAAACTTGTTCAATTCAAAAATGCATACAAGTTCTTACTAAGTAAACTGAATTACAGTAAGCTATTGTAATGTAATAGAAATACAAAGAATTGTAATATTATTAAAGAGTCACTAATCCAGCCAAGTCTACAGTGAACTAAATTGTTCAACTATACTCCAGAGTTGAAGAATGCCGTCTTCTTGAATGTGGAGCCGTGTAGATATTGTGTTAACCGACGGCGCCACATCCCAGAAGACGGCATTCTTCACAGTCACTGCCGTGAAAGCTTCAAATCTTGCATACTGCAGAGTGATTAATAAATAATAACGTTTGCGCAACAGTGATTGTCGAGGTATAAGTTCTTGTATCATAAAGTGTCATCCTGTTCTGCCTAAGCAAGGCCCGTTAACGACCTGGGACTAGAACTCATCTGCACCCATATCTGAGCATACTCGCTACTTTAACCCTTCTAACCTCAGAAGACATCACCTTAATTGTAAGCCACCTCTCTCGTGCTTACTGGCTCCCAGCAGCAACAACACGCCTAACCTCACAATCAATCAATCCGGCGATAACCAGAAGTAGAAGGAGCAGGAAGGAGGGTAGCAACTTCGAAAGTGTCTACATACAACGTAGGAGTGCAAGGCGAAGGTCATTACAAAGGGACGGGTAGAAAGAGTCGCTAAAAAATGAAGCGGCTGTAGTGGCCATGCAGTTCCAGTTTCGGTTAGAATCGGACAAAAATGGCAGCAACTTTACCACGCGTTTCTGCGTAAAAATCGAGAATAACTCTTCGAAAATTTATTCACCTGCGCAAAAAAAGAGACGTTTCAAACAAAAGTTGTAGGAAACAAATGAAACACACACTACGAGTATATGACGAATCCAGTTTTCTCTGTTATTTCTGTGCATTTATAGATAATCGAAAAAAGAAATGTAATTTTGCTTTCTCTTTGCTCTGTCTTCTCATAACTCAAATCCCGCTGGACCAATTGTGATGCAATCTTACATCTTAGGTCACTGTGCATGTTTTGTCCAAAGTCATGTCTGTCCCTCCTTCTATCTCTCTGTTTTTTTTTTGTTTTTTGTTTTTTTTTTTTGCCTAATATCAGCTCCTAAACCGATGGTCAGACTTATAAAAATTTCGATATGGGAGACTTTCACCAAATATGGTAGGCAGTTCTAATTTTAAATTATACTGACCGATAACAAAGCACACTACATGAGACTTCACGTATATCATAAAGTTTTAACAAACCGTATAAAAAGGACGCATATAAACTTAATAAAATGCAAAGAACACCTTTCGGAATTCTGTATACTAAGCTGTGGAGTATACCTTTTCTAATCGTGCTCATAAGATGTGTCATGGACATTACTATCAGTCACTTTTGGGAAAAAATGTATATAGCACATAATGAATATAAAATTATATTAAACAAAACGTAATTAATGGAAAGATTCCACCATTTAAAGTCTACGATTTTGTAACTAAATATAAGACGTATGAAAATCCGAACATTTAACGATTCTACGGAAGTTCGGAGACAAGAAAAGATCCCGGTGAACCCGGCCCAAAACCGAAAACATGGCAACCCTTCTTGAACCATTATTCATTTACATCCTTTCGTACTCTCGGAAGTCGTTTCAAAGGTCGTGTGAAATGTCCTAAACCAACGTGCAAGGACCGACTCGTAAAGCGTTTCTTGTGTACGGAAAAGATGCTGAACACTGAATCCATATCAAGGAACAGTAGCAATAAAACGCCAGTTTTTTGTTTTTGAAGTAGAAGCCCAATAAATCTCGACTCCAATCACAGCAGACAGGAACCAATAACTCTTGCAATGAAAAATAAACTTCTCAAGAAGTTCTGTAACGTGCCCTTCTGGCTTACTTGCTTAATTTATCAAGACGTGGATTGCTTACAGCCAATAGCAGTATGTAGTAGTTGTCTGTTGGG